CTGGTATGTGTCCCCCCCCCCATTTTATACAGTTACCTCAATTCCCAACTGATCCGTGTGCATGCTCCCTGCTGATGGTAACTGAAGGAGACCTATTAAGCGTTTGTTCACGCCGTGTCTGAGCTGTGATTTGTCTGCTCACCCCGGCACACGGATGGCGTGATAACGGCACATGCACTATTCTTTCTGCCTGACCTGTGCAGATAAACGCAGCTCCGTGAACACCCCTAAGCCAATCAGGACAGGGGATCTGTAGCGCCATATAACCTGCAACTTTGGCCACTTGTGGCTGCAGCAGGTAAACTGTACCTGTTCCAGGGCCCCTCTTAGGGCCACCGTATGTGTTACAATGCCTTAAGCTGGCTATTAACGTTGTTTTTGTTGTTGGGTTGTGCTTTTTTGTTTCCATTGAACCCCGGAGGGGACATTACATAGAATAGATTGTAGCGTCAATGCTTTGATCGTGGAATCCCTGCTGTTTCCTGACCGCTGTCGGAATACCTGAACACAGCCAGCAGCTCGTTGACTGTCTGCTCTGTTCATTCAAAGGTTTTATGACTGGCTCCTTTGAGCAGCTGGTGGGACGGATGCTGGGCTGAAAAAGTGCTGACGGTGGCACCCAATGTGCAAATTTCTATCGGTTCCTGTAGAACCAGCTGAGATTTGCATCATGTATGGCCAGCTTCAGACTGGTTCTGAAGGTGGAGGCACGCTTGCGGCAGTCATTGGTTCCTAACTCTATGTATACGAGTCTCCAAGTGTGAGCATATTAATGCAGTCGATAAATTGCATGCAGGTGTACCAGGAGGTAGCCAACTCCTCCTAATAAGGTGCAGGGACGCACTGGAGGCCCAGCAAACAAAAATGCATGCTGGGACCCCAGTGCGTCCTCTCAACCAAAAATAGTCAAACTAGAAAAAACATGGTACCTGCATGAATCTATAACTAGCCTTTACGGCAGGGTGCACATGTGCAATGCGTTTACAATGTATCGCAGTGTTGCCTTTTTGTTGTCCTGAATCTCTTCTGCAGCCCCTGTTATGAATGGCCAGGAATCCTCTATACTGAGTGTTCCCGATCATTCATAACATGAGGACAGAGTGTTTACTATAACCACAATCATGAATGAGCAGGAGGGGATGTAGATCACTTCCCATTCATAACGGGTAAATAGTAAGTTCACGGTCCAGTTATTTACAAACACTCAGCGGTGGGGCAGGAGAGCGTTGCCTCCTATGACAGATCAGTGCTCTCCATCCAGACACAGGAGGCGGAGCCAGGAGATGTGGGAGAAGAGCTCCGCCTCCTCGGACAGATTACAGCTGTCAGCATCCTGAAAGCTTCTCTCCTCCCTGCCAGGTGCTGGCGCCACATCAGAGGGCGCACAGTGGGGGGAGAAGAGAAGCTAGGCATGCACTGAATTTTTGGCTGTCCATTTGCCAAAAGTGACTATCGGCCTAAATGTGTCAGTGGCCGAAATTTCAGTGCATCCCTAATCTAATGTTTTGCCTGTCTAAATGCTTTTAAAGCTCCATTCTGGGATAGATCCAGGCTCCTCCTTCCCATCAATGGTGCTGGTTTATTAGTGTCTGCCAGGTGACGTGTTTATATAAGTGAAGGGGAAATGTGTCGGCACGCGTCATGTTGTGGTGACCAATGAGAGGCTGGCAGTCGTATGTTTGCGCTCTGCCATTGTACAATGTTGGCGATGCACAGAGCAACTTGACCGATTTTCCCTGCAAATACTGTTGGACTTGATTGAGACAGCCCACCACCATGTCATTCGTTTTCTGGTTAGCGCTAGACGTTGGTGCGTTTCTCAACGCGTTTAGCTATTTTCTGCTAACAAAATGGTTAAAACTTTCTTAGGGCCGGTCTTGTGGCTTAGCGCTCATTGGTCACATTGGATGCCGCTTGATTGTACAGCTGCTGTAAAGCTTTCCTCCCATTTATGTAGAGCTAGAAGAATGTCTTCCCCCATGGCTTGTGCAGATCTGACACCCATGAGGAAGCACCTGGTGCCATCTCACCCCTGACGGCTCTTCTCTGGTGGTTTAGAACTGCTTTCGTAGATGATGCTGAAGTTGGATACGTGGTTTGTATCCAATGCCGCTGATGTGCTGTCTGTGGAGGCGCATTGAAGGGATTCTGTTACTGTTTTGAGAATAAAAAAAAAAAGAATACTGTTATACTTGGGTGACCCATTGCTCGTCCTCTGGTCTTTGCTTTGTTCAAGAGCCATCGTCTTTGGTAGAATATTCTCCTAACACTTCTGTGTGTCAGATGCCTGCAGTGCCCTGGCTTCTCACCCATCGGTCACTACAGGGTCCAGTGGGGGGTGAAGGATCCGACGGGAGGAACCAGTGTGTGGTGAGGACCAGGTGTCCAACACGCCTGGATGCAGAGGCTGCTTTTTCAGCGGTGGCTCTTGAACGATGGCAAAGATCGGTGGAGTGGGTTTGTACTGGTGATCTTTTTCAGGGCAAAGTGAACGGTACAGCTCACACCTGCATACCCCCTATAGACCAGAGTGGTGTTCACATTTCTGCTTCGGGCCCAGGCAAGAACTTTGTCATTAAAGTAATACAGATGTAATTTGGAGGCAAAGATGCAGCTTTTGTCCCTTAATACATTTTATTGATGATCAGAAATGGGGCGGCCTCTTTGTCTGATGGAGGCAGTTTGTACAGATATGACCCAAGTGTTGTAAAGTGGTGGCACCCAAGTGCACAGCTTAGACCAATTGTGCATCCTCCTTTTAGGAAGTGGCGGTGACCTGCCTTGTGCTAGGCCCCTGGTTTTCTTCAGGAGCATGAAGGTTGTAGCTTGTCCCTCATGACACCAGGCTTTGGGCTGCTTTGTGGATGATCCAGCACAGGTTGGATAACACGAGGAGCCGCCGAAGCTTATGATTCTGTAATGAGCTACAAAACGTCAGTTGGTCGGCTGCGGCACACTTTTTATTAATTGACCAATTATTTTTTTCCTGATCAAGACGCTGAGAATCTGTAGGTGGTATAGAATAATTCATGCCACATTCCATATAATGCCCATATTGTCACAACGCATGTCACGTGTGGATCTATTCTGATGGGGCAAGGTGCAGTTTTTGTCCATAGCTATGGCTGCTTTTGCTTTCAATAAAATAAGGTGTCTGGGTGTTGTGGGCAGTATACTCCAGATTCTAGCTACGCCAGAGAACTTTTCTTGAGCTCCCTTTTTAATCAGTCAGTGCCGGGAGACCCAAGGCCGCAGTACTAAACCTTGATTATTGTTTTCTTTTGGTGAATGAGTGATGTATGGGGGAGGAGGCTTTCCCTCTGTGCCAGTTACTCTGTTCATGGTGAAAGCAGGCACAGTTCAGATCGAATTGCATCCCGTGAGACCCTTTGCAGTACATGAGTGGCCTTACTGTGCATGTTTGCCAGATATCTTGCAGATGCATCCTCAGTGGACTGTTGACTTTCCTATAGGCAGCTTGTCATATTTCTATAGCAACAAGTCAACATTGGGGGAAGAGATGTTTAACTACCGTGTTTCCCCCGAAACTAAGACCTAGCCCGAAAGTAAGACCTAGCGCTATCTTCAGGGATTTCTGAAATATAAGACCTACCCTGAAAATAAGACCTAGTTCGGTGGTAGGTCTTATATTACAGAAATCCCTGAAGATAGCGCTAGGTCTTACTTTCGGGACAGCTGCACATAACTGATTTCTGATTTTTACTTGTGAAGACCGGCCTCAGATCCATCCGTCCGCCCCCCCCCCCACCTGTCTGCTGCCACTGAAGACTACATTTCCCAGCAGGCACAGAGCGGCATAGACAGTATGGGTCAAAGTGGACGTCATCAGAGCGGAGAGAAGACAGCTGCAGCCAGGTAAAAATAGGACATCCCCCGAAAATAAGACCTAGTGTCTATTTTTCGTTGGGAAAAAAATACAAGACTGTCTTATTTTCGGGGGAAACACGGTATGTGCAGAATACACTGACAAAAGCTTAGGTGGTCCTCCATTCATTGTGGTGATATGGTGTGTTCCTTAAAACAAGAGGGATTACATTTTGACTGAGTGGCCAAATGTGTGCTGATCGGGGATGCCGGACTTGTCTTTGAATGGAAAGTGTCACAGATTGTTGCATCATAGTGATGGCATAACTGGTGTTTGGTACCCGCTGGTCCATTCCTGGATTGCATGTGGCACATGAGTGGCTTCTTCTATCCTTGCTATTTAACATTGAATGGTCAAGGAAATGTATTCGTTTTCTGTTTATGGAATCCTTTTTAATCGATTTTTTTTTTTTTTTTTTTTTTTTTTTTTTTTTTTTTTTTTGTCTTTCAGCCCAAGCAGCTTCCAGACAAGTGGCAGCATGACCTGTTTGAAAGCGGGTTCGGTGGTGGCGCTGGAGTGGAGACTGGAGGAAAACTGCTTGTGTCCAATCTGGACTTTGGGGTTTCGGATGCAGATATCCAGGTAAATGTACGTCTGGTTCAGTGTGATAAATGCAGTAAACCGTAGTAGTAATGCAGCACTGAGGGGTACTTGGGGAACACCCATGAGTTGAGGCCTGAGTTCCATCAAAGGGTTGCTCTGACTTCAGACCATCCATTCATTTATAGGTCGGTGTATCTGGCTTATGAAGAGGGTGAGGCGGTCTTTCATGCACAATACCCAGTTAGTGTTATTTTTACTTTCCTATTGCATTATTGTGCTTATAACCCATTACCTGGCTGAGATATGGGGACAGTTCTGTAGGAGTCATTCTGATTCTTAAACAGAATGGGTAATTTAGTTACAAAGTCCATTACTCTGCTCCTAGTGCACCCTAGCAGTGTCTGATCCATCCATGTCCTCAAGAAGGTTGTATGTGGAAAGTTGTTAATGGTACTTCTTGGCCTTTGTCGATTTTGTCGGCTGTGCTGTTGACTTTCCCATCCTGGGGGCAACGTTGACTCCTGGAGGCAGCCTCGTCTGTTTCTTAGTTTTAAGCATTATTTTTGTCTGAACCTGTAGCATTTTTTTCTTGTATTAAAGAGGCTTCTGTTTGACCATCTATACAAGTCCCAAATCCAGTTACCATACACAGAGCTTTTTCCTTCCTCCTACTGGGCCAAATTCTCCATTTGTGTCTCACACTCCCTCTCGCAGACACTGCAGCTTACCATGGGAGTGTTTCAGTAACAGAGGCAATGCTGTCAGTCTAGAAAGCAGTGGGCAGGACTGGGTGTGGATAGGTGTTAAAGGACAAGCTACAGGCATCAGCAGTAAGTGTTCTGAAGTTGTCCTATTTACTTGTCTTCCAGGAACTGTTTGCAGAATTTGGTACTTTGAAGAAGGCGGCTGTACACTACGACCGGTCCGGCAGGAGCTTGGGAACAGCTGATGTGCACTTTGAAAGAAAAGCCGATGCACTAAAAGCAATGAAGCAGTACAACGGGGTGCCGCTTGATGGTGAGTTGTAACCCTGTGAAATTGTCTCGTCTGTCCTCTCTGGGAGCAAAGATTAAAACTTTTGTCCTCCAGGTCGCCCCATGAATATCCAGTTGGTCACATCACAGATCGAATCACAGAGGAGACCCATACAGACGTAAGTAGGATCTTATGACTTAAATGTGACTATGATGTGTCGGAAGATCTATTCATAGACATCAGATCCCCTTTGCTTTGCACTGAGAATCTGGTTTCTGCATGGGCTATGAACGCTTCTTCCTGACACTCCATCACCCAGAATTAACTCCAATCTCTCCAAATGTTATCTTTCCAGCTCTGCTAGGGGTGGTATGACGAGGCCAAGAGGTGGCGCAGTTGGCTTTTCCACTGGTGGTGGAAACAGAAGAGGTGGCCGAGGAGGTAACCGGGGCCGTGGACGGGGTGGTGCAGGGAGAAACACAAAGCAGCAATTATCAGCAGAAGAGCTGGATGCACAGCTTGATGCCTACAATGCCCGAGTAAGTACAATTTGACTTGTGTACCCTTAATCTATGCCATGGCACCTGCCCTGCAATGTGAAACCTTTGAGCCCAATTGCAATTTTAGATCTATAACCCCTTTGTGATGGGAGTCTTGTACTGTACATCCCGCCACAAATTGCCCAAATAACTGTACGTGATCAGTTTTTTTGCGGCTCTGTAATGCTAGTAACCGCTGAGAATCATCTGTTACTGTTCATTAATAACTTCATCCAGTATGGAGACATCCATTAATGAAATTTAAGCTTTTTCCAGACACTTGATCCCTTTCAGGAATCGCGTGTGACAGTGAGAGCAGAGCCGTCTGTTAGCTGGTATAGATCGGGAAGTCCCCATGTATACTCGCTTTTGTGTCCCTAAACTTTCAGCAATATAAACATTTAGCTACAAGTTTCTATTCCTGATGCAATGTTGCAGTTTTCTGATCATTATTGGAACGATCAGAAAACCTTTTAGGCTGGGTTCACACCTGGGTGTTTTTCAGCACAAACACCCAGCAAATGAAATCCCATACTTTCCTATGGGCATGGTTCCCACCTGGGTGTATTTCAGCCCGTGGAAACGCGCTGAAAAACGCCCTACGCCCAAACAAGTACAGGAGCTTCTTTGGGGTGTATTTCAGCGCTTTTCCATTGTTCCCGTGTGTGGCTCGGGGTTAACAAAGCGGTAACCCCGAGCCACACTCGGGAATACAGCGTAGGTCTTGTCCGCGATCCCTGGTGAAGGTTTGAAGTTTTTTTTTTTTCCAAACCCAAAATAAACGGGGGGGAAAAAATCATACCGCCACGTAGGTATAAAAACGCATGTTTCACTGAATGAAAAAACTCGCCTATAGTACGCCCAGGTGTGAATCCAGCCTTAGTGACACTTGGCCTCTATTTATATCCCATATTATCATTCCTCTAAAACTATATAATGTGTGGGTGCACTTGGGTATATTACTGACGTGGAGGAATCGCACAGCAAAAATGTGAAGTCTGCCATTTCCAAACGGGAACTAAAAACAAGCTTGTCATGAAGGGGTTAAAGGCTAAAACCTGCAGAACCTGAGTAGCTTTAGTTTTGGAAGTGGGTATAACTTGGTCACAGTAATATACGGTACCACAAGGTGTTGGCACATGCAAGTACAAAGCACCTGAGCTATAGCCAATCACAATGTGATTCACTGCCAAAAATATTGCAGGTGTCTTTGAGCGGCACACTGCAAATGAATGTGCTGCCTTTTATGGAACTACAACGTCCTATCCCTGACAGCCAAGGAAGGTGCCATCTTGGCCTGTATTTGGATTACAGTTGCCATGGTGCTGCACATTTTTAGATTGTAAGCCCTCACGGACGGGGCCCTCCTTGCCCTCTTCGTCTTGCATTATGATTTGTAATGTCTTTCTTATATTGTAAAGTGCTGAGCAAACTGTTGGCCCTGTAAATTGATGTGGTCAGCTATTTGAGGGCTTGAAAGACATGCAACTCTATAGATGGTGGCATAAAAACCAAGCTTCCAGAATGTCAAGGGATATACCACAGGCACTTATCACAGAGTAAGATCAGTCTGTGTAGTCTCAAACTTAAATAACATCCATGGTATGCATATGGGTGAGGATCATTGCAGATAATGCCAGGTGTTCTTCAGCCTTGATGCGTTTCACCCTTAAGTGCTTCAGGAAAAGGATCAAACTGCATGAATACACAGCCACCGGTGCTGGATGCCCAGCTCAGGTACAACACAGTATTCCACCACAGGAGTGGGCACTTCACAGGGTATCTGCTTCCCAAATGGGAACCAGGGCAGACAGAAAACAAGCTCTTATCCCTGATGATCCAGGGGCATGTCTGCCTGGCTACAAAGTAGCAGGCTGCTACACAAGCCGCTGGATCACAAGGGACACGAGCCTGTTTTATAGCTGCCCTGGTTCCCATTTTGGCAGCAGATACCCTGGGAAGTGCCCCTCCTGTGGTGGAATGCTGTTGCTCCTGAGCTGGACATCCAGTGGCTGTGTATTCATGCAATTGGATCCTATTCCTGAAGCACTTAAGGGTGAAACGCGTCAAAGCTGAACACCTTCTGGGATCTGCAGTGATCCTCATCCATATACAGAATGATGGACGTTATTTAAGGTTATGAGACTATACAGACTGATCTTACTCTGCGGCAAGTGCCTGTGATGTATTTCATGACTTTCTGGAAGCTTTACTAGTTTTATGTCACAATCTATAGAGTTGTATGCTACAGCTTTTAGGCAAATGTGAATGTCATTTTTAATGGTTTCTCAGTGGTTCTTGGCTTTTTTTTTTTTAACGCTTTTCTTACACACCTTGTTTATGATGAATGTTTAAGGGTGCGGTGCGCCTGTGCTGGCTGTTTTTGTATTCCTTATGCTAACCTCTGAATAGTCTGTTTTTAAATGACAATGTGATTCCTCATTCAAGATGTCCTAAACCCCCACCTTAGCTTTGAATGATTTCAGCTTTTGGGTTGGGTGAGAAGTCTTGACAGCTTCCTTGTCAATTGTGACTATTGCACCGCTTCCCTGCATCTGACTTCATAATAGTATTCAAAGCTGAGCTAAAGTCGCAGGTAAAGCTATATTAAGACTTCTCACCATTTTAAAACATGAAAAGCAATCCTTCCTGCAAAGAAATGAGGACTTCCTGTCTGTCCTGCTGAACACTCTGGTAATCTGGCACTACAAATTGCGTTGGATAACTGGTCCCCTGTGTACATTGTGCTGCCACTCACCGGCCTCTATGGTGCTGCTGCGTCCTGTAGTGACATAGGAGCCAGCAGGGGATACCGGCATATGGCACGGAAAAGTTGGATATAGAAGATCTTTGCGCTTTCTTCTCTAGCCCCGAGGAGTTTATTGTTGTGGGCAGCAGGACTGGAGGGCCGTCTTCAGATTTTAAAGTCACTTAAGATCAATGGAGCCAATTTTAATGGGTTCATCTTTAAACCCATCAGCCTTCCAGTGGTGTAGGAAAGCAGACAACCGAGGCACAGGTAGAGAAGACATTCCCCCTGAAGGACCGTTTTTAGGTCTTCTAACTTTTTTGCTGGCTATAAAAAGTAGAATTCCCCCCGTGCTCATTGGTCCATCTTTGAATTTCCTGGTTTAGGACAGGGGTGGGCAAACTCCCATCCTCCAGCTGTGGTGGCACTACAAAGCCCATCATGCTTGTGGCGCATTCCTGCAATACCTAATGGGATTTCTAGTTCACAACTGCTGGAGTTTGCCTGCCCAGCCCCCACTAGCCGTGTAATTTGACATGTTTTGTGTATCTGCAGCTGTTCATATAACATGTGACGCAGTGAACAGCTGTGTGTAAAGTAACACATTGGTCTGTCCTGCCTCTTAATATGCATCTTGTGTCTCTTTGCAGATGGATACAAGTTAATCCAGTCGTTTCCTGTCCTGTTGTGGCTCCGGAAGTCCTTTCTACAAAACTTGTTTTTTGCTTTTATTTCTAATAGGTTTTAAACTCATGTAAAGTTTAAATTTTTTTTTTTTTATTGCGCAGACCTATTTTTTTGTACGGAGTTATTTTCTGGGATAAATTTTACTGGTTGAGTGTCATGGGATGGGTGAAGTATAAACATGCGCCTAATAATAAAACAAAACAAAAATCCAAGTGTGTGTTATATTCGTTCCTGTTCTTTGGACATTGCACACTCCGTGCTCTCAGTTGGACGGGGGGGGGGGGGGGGGGGGTTTCTCTATGCCAATGGAAAAAGCG